TAATGATGTATACAATCCTTCAAGCATTAATTTAGATCTGTTGAATGACTTAAATAATTCAATCAAACATTTGTAGTAGAAATCATAGGCATCTGTATTGCATATATGCAATATAGTAGATAACATAACGCAGTAGTTTTTCATTATTTCTGTATATCTACATCTTAACAATTGTGTTACATGCTCCTTTTTTATTCGAAAATTCATGTGATTAATTTCATATTTTATTATAAAATCTACGTTGAGGTGTTTACCATTATAAATTATATATATGTGATTCATTTTTTTCCAACCAGTTTCCTGACGAAGAATATTGAGAGCTTTTATTCCATCATTTTGAACTAGTGATGAATCTATTGGAGGCATGAGTCTATTATAAACAAAAATATTTTGATTATTACTTAAATGTATAGATAATATAATATACAATATTATTAATGAGATACTTTTCTTATTGTCATTCAATTTAATCTTGTAAACATTAATAAAAATATAGTAATTTTATTAAAATATTAAAAATATATATATTTTGAGTAATAAAATTAATATCTATTTTATTATTTTATAGTATTCTTTTCATAATTTTCAATGGGCTTATTAAAAATTTTAGAAATTGAAATGGATAAGTTTTATTACGCATGAGGCTAAGTAGATATATGTATATATATAAGAACACACATAAAAAACAATTATAAATATAAATAAACACTAAAAATATTCAAAATTAAATTAAATTTTATTGTTGCGAAATCTTATTAGATATAAATGTAATACAATAAATATTTAAATAAACTGTAATAAAGATTTACTATATTCCTATTTCATAACATTTATTTTTATACAAGCTATTGAATATTTACTATACATTTTACAAAGTGAATACTAAAAATTAATTTATGCTTTATATATAAACTTATTATATTTTCAAAAAAATATATGCAGTTATTTATATTCAAATATAAAATTAGACTTTAAATTAAATTGTAATAATTCTTACTGTAGTGTTTTGGGGTTAAGAAATTATAAACATTTACTAAAATATTATCTTGCAGAATATTTTTAAAATCAACTATTTTAATAGATATTATAAAGTATGGAATTATTATTTTATATAAAAATAAAGAAAAAAAGTTTCTTGTATTCAATTGGAAGATGAAAATATAAAAATATTTTAAATTTAGTTATAGATACTGAAGTGTATTTGGTTTGATAAATTGTTCAAAGCCAAGATTTTTGTACCAAATTTCTAGTTTTATCGTAAAATGAATTAAGTTTACTACATGTTAAATACACTAAGTAAGAGTCGTTTTCATTAGAGCATTCCTTAATTTGATATGTTATCGAATTAGTTTCTATAGAAGTGTCGATGATATTACTATTTTTAAAGAGTTTGTTTACTTTTTCTGATGCTTCTGTATAAAATTCATTCAAACTCTTTAATTTCGTCTTTGAGTCTTTAAGATTTGGTAAGCTATTGAGATCAAAAGGACTAGTCTCTGATATTTGTTGTAAGACATATTTTTGAAAAAAGTCGATTTCTTCAATTATAGGATTGGTCACGATGCTTCCATTAAACAAAAATTATACGTCTATGTAGCTTATAAACTTCATAGCATTGTAAAGATTTTCAAACATAGTCTTGGAATTTTTACTTCTTCTGTAAGCGACGTTACACAACATATAAAATTTTTTGATAAATTTCTATTTTGAAATTCCTTACATTTAAAGATAATAAAATATATATATTCGAGAAAGTTTTTTAGTATATTTGTGTACTTGTAATTGAGTACATTTATTGTATACGAATAGTTATCTTTGAAATCATTTATGTACAGATCCGGTTGGAAAACTTCTAATATATTTATAGTGTTATTTGAATCTTGTATTAGTTTTAGATTTAGCATTTCATTTGATCCAATTTGTGAATGAAAGTGAGATACTACTCTTTTGACGTAATTTCTATAATCCTTACGATAATCATTACAATGCACTTTTTTATCTAAATTTATAACAAAAAGGATAACAATTATTGTAATGAACAAAAAATACTCCATTATTATATGGTAAGAAATGTGTATAAAAAATATAAATCTATTTTTTTATGACTGTATTAGAATCACAGTGATTTATTGTTATTTTTTAAATAATTTTTAATGAGACATTAAACTATTTTTGACTTTATTATGTTATAGTATACAACTATACTATTTTGATTGGCTAAGTATGTCTCACGTAATATCTTTAAGAATACAAGTGTTATTAATAATTTTTTCTATTAATCATTTTTTTCTTCAATTTTTGAGGATAAATCTTTAACTAATTGTAATCATTTGACATATCGTTGAATAATGTAGGTCAAGTTAGAACAGAGAAAATAAATGAAAGTCAACAAAAAATACCTTCTCAGCTTTGCATCGAAACTAAAACCTAAAATATAGTAAAATAATTTTAATATGAATAAGAAATTTCTTCTCGCGAGTGGCGACTACAGTGATGGAATACTTGATCTTTATTAAAGTTATTTTTTTTTCTTTTATTTATGAAATTTACAATCTGTAAAAAAAATGTGATAAAAATGCAAAAAATTCCTTGCCATACGCGTGGAGGAACCTTGTACCCCAAGCACGAAAGACACAAGTTTTACCGACTCGACAACCGTAGGTCGCTTCCGTCGACTGAAAAAAATGGCAATTTAAGAGCTAGTTCAAATTTCAAAGCTAAAAAAAAAAAAGCAAGAAAAATTTAAATACGTTTATCTTTCATGCTATATTAATTTGATTTATATAATATTTATGAAAATCAGTGTATTCCTCTTGTCAGAAATTTTAAATAAAAATAAAATACAAAACCCAAAATTTTAACACAAAAATAGCATATTTTTTAATACGGTAGTTATTTTCAACATGAAGACAAATCAAGATACCATCTTTACAAGGTAATGGGTCAGATTTATAAAAAAAATATACCAAATCATAGGTAAGAACATTATGCATCTATAAAAAAAAATTATATTGATCCATAAGTTTTCTAAAAAGTTATAGTATTATAAATTTAAAAATATATAAAGGAATTTTTTTAGAAAAATCGTATTTTTTTTATTAACTTTGATGTCTCTTTTCACCATGAAAACAAAATAAAGTCCGAATTTTTTTTTTCCATAATAAAGTATATTACATTAGCTTTAATTTAAGATATATATTGATAGAGCTTGATAGGTGTTCAAATAAAGTGACACAATTTAGATTTATCGGTTACTTGTTGTTTATTATGATAGTGAATTTCTTACGGTAAACAACACAAAAGAATAAAACACAAAATATACGTATTGAGATGATGAGCAGGTAGAGATTTCTTTGCGGATATCAAAAATCGTAACTGCGGTTATGGTTCGGTCGAGCTGACGGACGATGGAAAAAACGATATTGGTGTCTCGAAGATTATTGCGGCGGGTTTTCGACTCTAGGCATTTATTGGACTTTACACCACGACAATAACGCGTGTGTGTAACTGTACGGTTTATAGTGGCTGAGGAGGAACGGACACAACTGCGGGGTATCAAACGGGTGACAACGCCGTGGCCGTGTCAATATATAAAAGTGTCACACTTTCCCAAACAATTTCAAAAGTTAAGTTGAAAAAGTTCTACTTTCTCTAAGCATTTTTCAGATTTGAATCCCCCTCCCGTATATAGAGCAATGGTCCGATTTAAAAAAAAAAGGATGTCGAATGAAAGATGTATACAAATACTACTTCTCATGAAATAATTGTATTGATCCATACATCTTTTAAAAAGCTATAGCATTTTAAAATAAAAAATGTAAAATATAAAATCGAGAATTTTCACACAAAAATAGCATTTGGTAGCCATTTTCACCATGAAGACAAGTCCAGAGATCAAATTTTTTGTTTCAAATTAAAGTATATTACATTAGCTTTAATTTAAGATATATATAAAAGTGTCAGCCTTTCCGGAACACTTTCAAAAGTTAAGTAAAAAAAGTTGATTTTTTATGATAAAGTTGTCATTTTAAATCCCCCCTTGTGGTCAGGTAAAGGTTTAAATTTATAAAAAAAGACACTAAATGATAGGTAAAGACATCAAGCATCTATAAAAAAAAATGTATTGATTTGTTCATTTTTGAAAATGTTATGGCAGTTTTAAGTAAAAAAAATTGAAAAAATTTCGAAAATTAGCGATTTTAAAATTTGTAATTTTTTTGGAGATTTCCCCATTTAACGAGGAACGAGGAAAATTTTTTCAATTTTAGAGGGAAATTTCTTCGACTAGATACGATTTGGGATCTTTTGACGTATTGTTGAAAGAAATCGGTTCGGTGAGAGCTGAGAAAAAGTGGTAACAGACACAAAAAAAAAAAAAAACACATAGTAAAACCAATATCTTCTCAGCTTCNACAAAAAAAAAAAAAAAACACATAGTAAAACCAATATCTTCTCAGCTTCGCATCGAAGCTAAAAATATTTACAAAAAATTAGTCCATAAATATAAGAATCAATTATTTTATCATTTTTCTCGAGCAAATTCACCTTTTTATCATCAAATTAAAACAGTTAAAGTGTAATTTAAAAATATATATATAGAATGTGTAATAAGTAAGGAAATGGATTTCTATTATTATCACTTATATAAACAATAGTCCTGTTTCCTAACTTAACATTCTTTATATTTAAAACAATAAAAAAATGATTAAGTAGAATAATTTTAAAGTAAATAATTTTTTTTAATAAAATAAAAGTATTCTATGTGACCAAAATCATCACATGAATTTTTATAAAAATTATCATGTATTTAAAAAAAAAAATTATTACTTTTTTAAATATTCTGATATTTTTAACACTTTATTATTAAATCAATGTATTATTTTATTAAATATAAAAATCAATAACAGTTCTTAGCGTTATTAACTACTTAATGTTATATTTTTATTACTTTTTGATACATTATGTTATATTATATTGTAGTAAGTGTGCCAGTAAAGACTGTAAATTTACAAAAACATATATTTCAGAGATGATTTATAAATATTATGTTTAAAATATCATAATAAATAATTAACAATAATAAAACAAAGTTTTTATAAAATCTACTATTTAAATTAACTGTTTATGACTTGCTATTTACTATATAATAAAGTTCAAATAAATAAAAAATCCGTCTAATCTACAATAACTTAAATAATTCTGTTTTTTTAACTGTTGATAAGACTGTAAACTTTGTTGAAACCCAGATCTTCGCAAAAAAATGTGTGAACTTTTTCACAAAAAATTTCAAACAAATTACACGCATTAAGATAAATTTGTGTTGACTGTAATAAATTGTGATTATTCACTGTGTTTACTAAATTTTTTAATGAATTTATTATTTTGAATTTATCATAAAAAGGTTTTGTCATAATACAACGCCCGTTCATGTTAGTCAACTCGATATTTAAGTCCATATAGAAACTATATCGAAAACTTAGAAATATTTTCTCTAGTGTTTCAATCTTCTCGGGTTGTTTCTTACCCTGCTGATCGTTTGAAAAGTCATTGTTCTTTAATAAACAGAGAAAACATTCAACCCATTTCAAAATTTTCTCTAAACTTGAATGTGATTTGACTCTATCATCCCATATTAAAAATTTATTTAAAGTAATCAAAGCTGTATTCAGTCCTTCAAACATTTTTATGGATTTATTGAATGAGTCAAATAATTCTACCAAACAACTGTATTTAAAATGCATTGCATCTGTATAGCATATATGCAGTATAGCAGATAACAATACGTAGATATTTTTAATTATTTCTGTAAACCTACATCTTAGTAATTGTAAAAAATGTTCTTTTTTTATTTGAAAATTTATGTGATTTATTTCGTCTTTTATCATACAATCTACGTTGAGTTGTTTATTATTATAAATTATATTTATGTAATTCATTTTTTTCCATCCAGATTCCTGACGAAAAATATTGAGAGCTTTAATTCCATCATTTTGTATTATTTCTCGATATTTTGGTGGTTTAAGTCTATTTAAAAAAAATATATATTATGATTATTACTTGATTATATAGATGAAATAATTAAAGAAACTTTTTTATTTAAATTTATATTAATTTTGCACTAATAATGATTTAAAATAACAACAACAAAAGTATATCGGTAAATTACATCATATAATAAGATATATTATATTCATATTACATTATATTTTAATAAAAACTATACAAATAATAAGTCTAGAAATAAACAAAAATGTTTTGTTTATTGAAATGAGTTCGTTATATAATCAGTTTTACAAATTGTCTGACAAATACTACTCCATAAAAATACTCGTTTAAATAAAAAATATATAAAGCTTTTTATTCAAATTTCGTATATATTTAAAAAAATACACGAGGTTCATATAAATTCAGTCATATAATTATAAATAAAATAAGAAATTCTTACTCAGGTATCTTGGGGCTGAGAAATATTTCAAAGCCAAGGTTTTTGTACCAAAGTTCTATAGTTTCGATGTAAAATGAATTAAGTTTACTACATGTTAAATACACTAAGTAAGAGTCGTTTTCATTAGAGCATTCCTTAATTTGATTTGTTATCGAATTAGTTTCTATAGAAGTGTTGATGATATTACTATTTTGAAATATATTGTTTACTTTTTCTAATGCTTCTGTATAAAATTCATTTAATTTCTTAAATTTCTCTTCAGTGTCTTTAAGATTTGGTAAGCTATTGAGATCAAAAGGACTAGTCTCTGATATTTGTTGTAAGATATATTGTTTAAAAAATTCGATTTCATCAATTATAACATTTGGTACAATGGATCTAAACACAAATCTTACATCTATGTAGCTTATAAACTTCGTAGCATTGTAAAGATTTTCAAACATAGTCTTGGAATTTTTCACTTCTTCTGCGAGTGATGTTACACAAGAAATAAAATTTTCGGTAAAATTATTATCATGAAATTGCTTACATTTATGAAGAATAATATCTACGTATTCGAGGAATTTTTTTAGTATTTCAGTATATTTGTAATTCAGTACACTTATTGTATAAGAATAGTCAGCTTTGAAATTAGTCATGGTTGTGTCTGATTGAAATGCTTTTTCTATATTAATAGTATAATGTGAATCTTGTTTAAATTTAAGATATCGCATTTCATTCGATCCAATATGAAAATAAATGTAACCGACAATTTTTTTAGTATAATTTATGTAATCTTTACGATAATCTAAACATTCTGATTCGCCTAGTTTCAATATAACAATGGCAATAGACATTAAAATCAACGAATAAAATTCCATTATAAATAATATACTAATTTAAAAAATAACTTGTTCGAAATGAAGTAAGATTTAAAATGAACATTTACTAATGTATGTATTATTATTTATTATTTATTATCATTTATTTTTAATTTTCAAATAATTTTTTGCAGTATATATGAATTGTTCTATTACCTATAATATATTGTTTTACTATAATATACAGTATGATTCGTTTATCATAAACCACTCGTAAATTTTTGAAATAAATATAATATTGAAAAAATATTTTTGATTTCTTAGTTTCAGAGCAAATTATTTTTTATTAGTATCATGCTTTATAACATAAAGACGTGTCAACTTTCCTTTTTTTTAAATAGTTAATTATGTACATCATAATTAACTAGCTTAGTTAATAGATAATAATGTAATTAAAAATGACTAGTCGAGACAAATTTTGGACCCGTATTTTAGAAACTGTTTTTATTTTTATACCTAGACGAGTGGAGGACTGAGACTAAGAAAAGTCTAGTGGTTATAATAACAGTATCCACTCCTCACCTCCTCTCATAGCTTTAAATTTTAAGTAATTTCTGAAATACTGGTCCAAAAGTTGTTATAAGCCAATTATTTTCTCAATTATATATTTTTCTTTTTCATAAGCTAATTAAATACGTATAATGCCATTTAAAAAGTTGACGCTTCTTAAAGTTTTAAAGGCTGAAAATAATAAATAGCAGATAAATGGACATACATATGTAACTAACAATAGCAAAAAAAAATTCATACAAAAATTAATTTTTTAAGAGAAAGTGAGTGGCTAGCATTAAAAGAATTACTCTGTATATATTACTAATAATTTAATGGTGTATGATGAATCAATTACTGTGTATGTATATATCCTATAATATTTTGACAAATTTCTTCTTTAAAAAATGTATTTAACACATAAATTCTCTTACAAGAATATTTTAAATTATATTATGGTATTTCCTATAATAAAAAGAACAATTTTTTAATTTTGAATCGTATTATGATATTTTATATAATGAGACTTAATAGTTAACTATAAAAATAATTTTTTTTTTATAAATAAATGTAGAGAATGGTTAACTAACATTTTTATTATATTTTTATTTAGTAGTATAATATTAATTTTTTTTTAATGCTGCTCTCTGATTAAACATAAACGATGTTTTTTAATTTAGAAAAATTTTTGAACATCCTGTAAACAATATAGTTAATTTTTTGTAAATATTTTTAGCTTCGATGCGAAGCTGAGAAGGTATTGGTTTTACTATGATGTGTTTATTTTTTTTTTTTTTTTTTTGTCTGTTACCACTTTTTCTCAGCTCTCACCGAACGGATTTCTTTCAACGATACGTCAAAAGATCACAAATCGTATCTAGTCGAAGACATTACCCT